GTGAGACGGTTTGTAACGGTGACAGTTTCTGCCTCCCTCTCGCTCTAGTTCTTCAACACAGACATGTTACCCCTATCAGGGACACCCTCAAACTGGCTGGCACAGGGCTCCCGTGCAGGTTGGTGGATCATAGGTATCCAGACCTCCTCACTCTGACTTCTTGGAGTAGGTGTGGGGCAGCCATTGGGGGGGAGGGGCTGAAGACCTGAGTAAGCTTGGGGGTGGGAGTGCCAGTAGCCCTCTTTGCACTCACCTTCTGAGGGATCTACAGGAAGTGAGGGGAGGGAAGGGGCTGGCTCCTGAGAGAATCCAGTCCCCTTAGGAATGGGCTCTGGAGGGTTCTGACTGCCTGCATTGGAACCCTATCTTGAGCGCTAACCACCTCCCCAACCTTGAGCCTCAGTGTTGCCATCTGTGAATTGGGGCATCATTACAGTTCTTGTTATCTCATGGTTGCTGGTCTGATGTTTGTAAAGCACTTGGTACTGAGCCTGACTCTGACTAAGTGTAGTCAAAGTGTCAGTTGTGTCTGACTTTTTGCGACCCCATGGACTGGTGCCTGCAAGTTTCCTCTGTCCACGGAATTCTCCTGGCAAAGATACTGGAGTGGGTTTTCATTTCCTTCTCTAGGGGATCCTCCTGACCCGGGGATCATACCTAGGTCTCTTGCATCGGAGGCAGATTCTTTACTGTTTAGTATCAATGTTGAATTCACTTGTGGTCGTTTCCACATGGGGGGATGGGGAGCTCCCGTGTTTGAACAGGGGAGCTTGACTGCGGCTGAGGGGTCTGTGAGGGTGACTAGGGGTAAGGAAGGGGAGAGAGACCCCTCTCCGGGTGTCAGCTGTGGGTCAAACTGCACTAGTGGACAAGGGCCTCCAGGGAGCTGATGGAGTGTTCTGCACTCAGGCTCCAAGCTGAGCAAAACTGATGCCAACGTTCTGGGGTGAGCCAGGTGCCTGAGGCTAGAGGTGTGGGGAGCAAGTGTAAGGGTGTATTAGAGGTTGGTGGGAGGTGACAGAGGAAGGTGGCAAGGGCTCTCATAGCTGAGCTGGTGGGTTGAGGGGGCAGGGCTCACTGTGGATGAGATCGGGGTGGCCACTGTAGGGGACCTGGAGGCCAGAGTGACTGAGATGCCAGTGTCCCTGTGGCACTGTGTGACGTGTGACGCAGTGAGGTGCCTCACCCCCTTGCCATCTGCTCTAGGCCAGATGTGAAGCAGAGACCCACTCCCTGCTTTTGGGGTTTGAGGAGAGGGAGGTCAGGGCCTTACCTGGGACAGATGGGGGGGAGCCTGTGGAAGGGGTCTAAGACTAGAGGTGTGTGTGTGTGTGTGTGTATTTTGTTTTTTGTTTTGGGGTCATGCCTTGCTGCCTGGGGGATCTTAGTTCCCTGACCAGGGATTGAATTCATGACCCCTGCACTGGGGATTGTGGAATCTAAACCACTGGACAACCAGGGAAGTGTGTGTGTGTGTGTGTGTGTGTGTGTGTGTGTAGAAGTGACCATGGGTGTGGAAGACCTGGAGGGGGCCTCTCTCATCAGGGAGGTAGGTGGGGGCATCAAGACACAAAAGAGGTGAGGGCTTTAAGGCCTCTTCTGTCTTCTGGAGAGCTCCCTGGTAGACAAGGACATCTGTGGGCCTTTTTATCCACGCAAGGGCTCAAACCTGAACAGGAACTTTGGATGGGGGTGTGGGTTTGGTGTGGGTGAGTGGAACTTGGCAAGTGCTGGGACTCCATAGGTCAGCTTCCTCTCTGGGCATCCCTTACGGTGGAGTCAGTGTGGGTGACAGTGGCAGAAAGAAGGGGGTGACCCACGTGGTACAGACATCTGGGTGAGTGAATACTTCTCTTAGTCTCACCTTCAAGCAAACACCAGGGGCTGACGGCATGAGACTCTACTTCCTCCGGGAAAATGGGGGTAATGATAATATCACCCTGGTGGGTCATTATGAGGATCAGACAGGTGAATCTCTGTTAAAGAACTGTGCCTGCACTTGGTGGCTACTCAGTATATTTATTCTTCACAAATATTTTTTTAGCATCTATTATATGCCAAGCTTCCCTGGTGGCTCAGAGGGTAAAGAATCTGCCTGCAATTCAGGAAACTCAGGTTTGATCCCTGGGTCGGGAAGATCCCCTGGAGGAAGAAATGGCAACCCACTCCAGTATTCTTGCCTGGAGAATCCCATGGACAGTGGAGCCTGGTGGGCTACAGTTCGTGGGTTGCAAAGAGGCAGACACGACTGAGTGACTAGCACACATACGCCAAGCATTATTCTTTCTAATGATGGTTAGCTATCACCATTTCACATCTCAGTACACATCAGGTCCTCTTTATGGAATGAATGAATTTATTGAACACCTACTACCTGTCAGGTACCTTTTGTTTTGTTTGTTGTTTGTTTGCTTGTTTGCTAAACTGCCTGGAATAAGGGATCTTTGTTCCCCAACCAACCTGTGCCCCCTGCAGAGGGAGTGCGGAGTCTCAACCACTGGACAAACAGTGAAGTCACCGTCAGGTGACTTTTGAAGCAATTTACCAATATCTAAGGGCTTCCCAGGTGGCGCTAGTGGTAAAGAACCCTCCTGCCAACGCAGGAGACATAAAGAGTTCAATCCCTGGGTTGGGAAGATTCCCCAGAGGAGGGTATGGCAACCCACTCCAGTATTCTTGCTTGGAGAATCCCATGGACAGAGGAGCCTGGCGCGCTACAGTCCATGGGGTCATAAAGAGTCAGATACCGCTGAAGCGACTTAACACATGCACACCCCAATACTTACTCATTTAATCCTCACAATAATCCAAGGAGGCATCATCTTTATTTTACAGATGAGGAAACTGATTCCCAGAAAGATTATTTGCCCAGGGTCACATGGCCACCAAGTGGTGGAGTCAGGATTTGAACCCAGGAAGTGTGGCTACAGGACACAACTGCACGGCTGCTGTCAGGCCGGGAAAGGCGTTGAGTCGGGCGTGGTCCCTGTGAGAGAGACAGCCCCGACGGAGACCAGAGACCGGGACCGAGAGGGTTCTCTAGAGCTAGGAGGGACTGGGGGCAGGGGGCGGCGTCAGGGAGCCATGCGTTGGCGGGACGTTTGCGTGGGCATCTGTACGGTGTCTCTAAGTCTCCTGGCACTCAAGTGTTTGTGTGAGTGCAAATGTATGCGAGTCTGTGCGAAGGTGTGGGAGAGGGAGTGTGCGTGAGTCTGCGTGGGAGGCTGCGAGTATATGTGTGAATGTGTGTGTAAGCCGCCGTGTGTGGGTGTGTGCGAGCCCAGGTGTGCATGCGTGAGTGTAGACCCAGGTGCGAGACTCCGAGGTGTGCACGGGTGAGCGTGCGTGAGCGGCTGTGCATGCCTCGGGCCCCACCTCTGACCGGCTTCCCGGTGGGGTCCCGCCAGCCCCAGGCGGGGAACTACCACTCCCAGCATGGCCCGGGAGGGCCCGCCCCGCCGCCCTGATTGGCTGTGGCCCCGGTGCTCCCGCCCCCCGGGAATGAATGGATGGGCGGCCTCAGCGCCCGCCCGAGCGCTGGGAGGACCGGCCCGGCGGGGACCTGCTGGGGGCAGGACCCGGGGAGCAAGATGGCCACGGTCATCCCCGGCCCCCTGAGGTGCTGCGGGCCGGCGGGAGGTGGGGGAGGGCGTGCGGGCGGATCGCGCGGGCGTGTGTGTGTGTGGCGGCTGGGGGTGGGGCCGATGGGGTGTCTGGGGGGCTGTCACCGTGGGCCGGGCTGAGCGGGGTTGCGAGTGTGTGTGACTGTGGGTCTCTGGCAAGAACCGTGTCCGACGCGCGGCTCCTGGAGGAGCGGAGAGTGTGCGGAACTCCGAGTCCTCTTCGGGAAAGGGGGTCATGTCCCGCCCTGAGACCCCCGGGGTTGGGGAGAGGGTGAAATGGACTAGGGGCGCGGGGACCTTGGTAAACTTGAGTGAAGCTCACAGTACCTTTGTCTTGGGATATGGAGTGTGTGTCACTTGTTCGGATTCTGGTGTTTTTTATTTTTTATTTTTGGATATGTGTGTGGATGTGTATTTGATTTCTTTTATTCTACTCTAGGTATCTTTGGATATTTGAGTCTTTTGAGTGTGTGTGCATGTCCTTTGAAACTGTGCATCGTTTGTGTTCTGTGTCTTTGGATATGTAGGTATTCCTGTATTTATGTGCAAATTTTTGTGTGAATATGGGTGGATTTGTTTCTACATTGAATATATGTGTATCTTTGTGTATTTGAATATGTGGTATTTTAGATGTTGGTTTCTATATTATTGTGTATCTTTGTGACTGTGTGTGTGTATCCTGTGTGAATCTGTGTGATTTCTTTGTATAGTGTATTTGAATTATATGTGATTTGTGTTGTGTATTTGGATATGTGTGTAAGTGCTTATATGGGTAGTTTGTTTTAACATTTTTTCTCTTAACATTTGTGTACCTGTGTGTGTGTCTTTGGATGCATGAGTGAGCGTGAGTGTCTGTGGTGTGTAATCTGTTTACATGTTGTATGTCTTTGTGTGGGTGATTGTTTATGTTGTGTGTCTCTGGATATGTGATGTATATTTGTGCATGGACACGTGTGTGATCTGTTTCTACACTATGGAACTTGCGAGATCTGCGTTTTTCAGAAGATATTTGTGTGTGCCCATATGTGAGATGTGTCTGTTTCTCCCTTTGTGAGTCTTGGGATATGTCTCTCTTTGTGTGTGAATCCTGTGTGACTATGTGCGATACATTTGTGTTGTGGATTTGGATATGTGCCTGAATGGATGTGTCCTGGTGTATCTTTATCTGTTTCTATATTGTATGCACTCCTTGGCTCGAGGCCCGCTTGAGTCCCGGGTTGGGGGCTCCTGGGTCCCCACCAGAGGGGAGAGGTGAGGTTGGAGGAGTCGGCCCACCCATTCCCTACGGGTGGGCTGGGGGAGGGGTGCTGGGCGACCGGGTGCGCCTTGCCCTTGCTGACAGCCGCCCGCCCGCTTACCCGCCCCTCGCAGCCTAGGCGAGGACTTCTACCGCGAGGCCATCGAGCACTGCCGCAGCTACAACGCGCGCCTGTGCGCCGAGCGCAGCCTGCGCCTGCCCTTCCTCGACTCGCAGACCGGCGTGGCCCAGAACAACTGCTACATCTGGATGGAGAAGACCCACCGCGGCCCGGGTACCGGCAGGGAGGGCGGGGGTGGGGCGGGGCCGCGGGCTTCCCTGCCGCGTTCTTACCGCCCTTCTTACTCCAGGTTTGGCCCCCGGACAGATCTATACGTACCCGGCCCGCTGTTGGAGAAAGAAACGGAGGCTCAACATCCTGGAAGACCCCAGACTCCGGCCCTGCGAGTATAAGATTGGTAGGTGGGGTCCGTCCTGTGCCGGGGTGGCCCCCGTGGGTGCCCACACCACTCGCTGATCAGTGTGTTGATGCCCTTGTGTGTCTGAGCATCTGCCTTTATTTCCCTCCTGGCCCATGTCTGAGTGACTGGCTGTGTCTGCTGGGGTGTGTCTGTGGTTAGTGCAGAGACTCTCCAGTTTCCCCTGAGTTTTGGACTGCATCTTCTCCTCGGACCCAAGTGCATTCCTGGACAGAGTGTGGTGTCTGTTTTGTGTGTCCAGGTGTATCCCGTCCTTGTGTATCTCTTCCCTTGTGAGTTGGGATGTATCAGAGTATCTGTTTTTTTTTTCCTGTGGCTGTCTGAGTGTGTCTGGGTGTGTCAGTGTCTGGTTGTAACTTTTTCCATTTGTAGTACAGTGTGTCTGTGTGTTCATGTCTCTTTTCAGGTGTTTCCAGGCTTATTTCCTCTTAAGTGTGTCTGGTTTATCTGTTCCTGAGTCTCTCTTCCTTTGAGTACCAGATGCTCTGGAATGTCTGGGAGAATCTCGTCCCTGAGTGTCTGTTTGGTGTATTAGGTGTATTTCTGCCCATGTCTGCTGCTCCACGAGTGTCTGGCTTTATCACTTCTCAAATGTGTCCAGTACTATTAGAGTCACTGGCTGTTTCTCTTCCCTTGCTCAGGCATGACCAAGGATCTGTGTGGGTCCAGGCAGGTGTATTGGCGTGTCCATTCGGTTCTGTCTTCCTGGGTGTGTCTGATTGTCCCAGAGGGACTGTCTGTATCACCTGTGTGTATGTGTATCCATCTGAGTGATTCTCTGGTGTGTCTCTCTCCCCGCTAAGTATGTTCAGGTGTTTGGTACCGTTTGGTTGTGTTTTCCCCATATTGTCTGGGTTTGTCTGATGGTCTAATGTTCTCTTTTGGAGTGTCTCTGGGTGTGCCCAAGGGTCTGAATATGTCTCCTCCGTGAGTCTGGGTGTATCTGAGTGTCTGGGTGTATCTCTTCCTTTGTGTGTCTGGCTGTCTCAGATGATCTGTCTGTATCTCCCTTGTGTATATGCCCATGTGTGCCGTTTGAATGTCTGTTCTCTCCAGTTGTGGGGGTCTGGGTAGGGTCTCCTATTTGTATTATGTAGTTATACAGGAGGTCCCGCCATGTCTCTCCCTGAGTATATCCAGTGGTCTCTGATGGTCTGACTGTGTCTTCTCCAGGGTCTGGGCATCCTTAGGATGTGTGGAAGTATTGAGGGAGGTATGGATGGTTGAATATTTGAGTCTGTTGCTGGTTGAGTGTGGGAAAGCCTCTTTCCTCCGGCAAAGAGCATGATTCCCCAACCTGGGCAGCCTGAGTCCTCTTCCAGGGACAAGTTCTCCACCTGACCCCCCTCCTACCTGCTGTGGTCTTGTCCCCAGACTGTGAAGCACCGCTGAAGAAGGAGGGTGGCCTCCCCGAAGGGCCAGTCCTTGAGGCTCTCCTGTGTGCCGAGACAGGGGAGAAGAAGATAGAGCTGAAGGAGGAGGAGACCATTATGGACTGCCAGGTAGGACTGCCCACCCCCACCCCCACCCGTCCAGGGGCTGTGGCTGCCCTCTCAACTGGCCTGTGTCCTGGCCCATCTTGCTCCTGCTCTGAAATTTCCCGATTCCCTAGGACCTTTGAGCATCCTGTCTCCATCCCTCCACACTTCATCTTCTTTTGCAAAGACCTCCTAACTTGCCCTGCCACCCCTGATCTTTGCTGTGCCCAGAACTACCTCCCAAAGTAGAACAATACCCCATTTCTTGACCCCAGTCTCCCTTCTCCTGATGCCCAGAAACAGCAACTACTGGAGTTTCCGCATGATCTTGAAGTGGAAGACCCAGAGGATGACATGCCCAGGAGGAAGAACAGGGCCAAAGGAAAGGTATTGCTCCCAAACCTCCTCCCATCACCCTTCCTCTCAAGGCAGGTTCCATTGATTGCTTGTGCAATGTTCAGACCCTGCCCCAATTTTACCTTATTTAACTCTCAGAGCAGCCTGAAGGGGTAGGGGATTTTTATACCCATTTTACAGGTGAGGAAATTGAGGCCTGAGCATATTAAGCCATTTGCAAAACAGAGATTGTACAGTGGGTTAGAGCTATCTTCCTACTCGTGGCACAGATGAGAAAATGGAACCTCCGAGAGGTCAAGAGAGTCACCCTAGACTCACTAGGAAGTGGCAGAACTATGATTGGGCTTTCAGGCCCAAATGGTGAAAATTCTTTTAGTGCCTTCCCTTTCTTGGCCCCTTACTCCTGACTCTTTCCCTTCAGGCATACGGCATCGGGGGGCTCCGGAAACGCCAGGACACCGCTTCCCTGGAGGACCGAGACAAGCCGTATGTCTGTGATAGTGAGTCCTTCTGAAGAGGGGGGAGGAGAGAGAGAGAGAGAGTGGGACCCAGAGACCTTGCCCCGCACTGGCCCCCTTCCCTCCTGTTCTGGACCCTGGCAGAGGGGGGAGGTGTGATCCTGGAGGCCAGGGTGGAGGCGGCAGGGGCTGGAGGGCTGACCGGCCCTCCCTGCTCACTCTCCAGTCTGTGGGAAACGGTATAAGAACCGGCCAGGGCTCAGCTACCACTACACCCACACCCACCTGGCTGAGGAGGAGGGGGAGGAGAACGCCGAACGCCACGCCCTGCCCTTCCACCGGAAAAACAACCATAAACGTGAGCAGGCGGGCAGGGCGTGGGGTGGTGAGGGGCCCTGGGAGTGGGGGCTAAGGAGCCTGGGAGGGAGGGGGCACATTAGACATTTCTGGAAAATCTCCAGCTCAGCGGTCCCCTCCCCCCACCAACCATGGGGATGCTGGCTCTGGGGTTGCCATGGCAACCAACCATCTCTCCCTCGCTCCCGGCCGGGCGTAATATTTCTGGGTCTGATTTATTGTTTCAATTAGAGCTTGGGGAGGGGGGTGATAGATGACTCCCCTCCCTCCTTGCCTCCCTTCCTCCCTTCTCTGCTAAGCTTCGGCCAAGGGGCAGGGGCCGTGGCCTGGGAACCCTTGGCATCCGCCCATGCCAATCCAGTGCCAACCTCGACAGCTGAGGGATAGGGGAAGGCTTGGGAAGAGGCTCTGCCAGTGGAGGAACCATCCTCCCACCCATTCCTCGGTGGGAGAGAGCAGTCTCTCCATCCCACCCCTACTACACATCCAAGCACCTCTGTGTTCAGAATTTTCCTTCTGAGTGTCTGTTTCCATACCAGATCATGGCCACTGGCCTCTACCTAATTTTTATTTAGTTGGGGCTTAGTTGGGGGTGGCTGTCTGGCAGAAGTGCATATGGGCGGGGGAAGCAGGGGGCTTTTCCTAAAGCTGTACCTGCCAAGTTTTTACCTAATAAGGAGGCCCTGTCAGTTGTTCTCAGAGAGTTGGGGGGTCCTGATGAGAATTACCTGGGCTCCCTGCAACTCTCTTTAGCTGCTGAATGCAGCTTGGGGTAGCGGCTCCCTCTCCTCACCTCCCCCATGCCTGGACAAGGGGTTCACCCCTGGGGCTGAGGCCGTGGGCAGGGTGGAGCCTTGCCTGTGGTGAGAGCCCCTCTCTCTGTCCCCCACCCCCAGAGTTTTACAAAGAATTGGCCTGGGTCCCTGAGTCACAGAGGAAACACACAGGTAGGGACGCCTCCCTCCGCCCCTACTTCTGCAGCAGCCTTGGACTGAGGCTCCCTTCCTGCCCCCGCCAACCCCTGCCTGCTGTCTTTCAGCCAAGAAGGCGCCTGACGGCACTGTCATCCCCAACGGCTACTGCGACTTCTGCCTGGGGGGCTCCAAGAAGACAGGGTGTCCTGAGGACCTCATCTCCTGTGCTGACTGTGGGCGATCAGGTGATGCACCCCCACCTGAGGCTTCTGGGGGCCGGGGTGGAGAGACTCCAGATCTGGAGGGTAGGAAGCAGAGGAGAGAGAACTGGGGGGAACACAGAGCATCCTGGTGGATAAACAGCTGACTCAACTGCTGAGGACTGTGGGAAACTCAGTGGGGTCAGGGAGGCTCTGGGAACAATGGGACGCAGTTGTCATGGCATCGTGGACACTGGCACGTGCCTGTCTGGCATGGGGAACAGTGAAAGATGGCTGCCAAAACACCATGGGGTGGTGGGCTGTGATAGCGATTGCCACTGCCTGGATGTTGTGGGCAACAGAGGGCGCTTGCCATGGAGTTGTGGTTAACAGAATGTGGTTTCCCAAGGTGGACTTGTGGGTAAGAGACTGTGGTTGCCTCAGCACAGTGGCTAATGAATTGTGGTTGTCATGGTATTACGGGTAGTGAAATACGGTTGTCATGGCGATTGGGTGTCGTGGTGGCCTGGGGTCATGGCTGTGGGTCTGCGCTGGGCTGGTGGGACGACCAGAGGTTTGACACGCTCCACAGTCACGTTGCTAACGGCATGGTTGCTGTGGCGTTGTGTGTAATGGGCTTGGGCTGCAGGGAACCAGGGTGTGGGGACCCCTCTGTGGAAGGCAGTTGCCGTGGCATCGTGGCTGGAAGACTGTGGTTGCCACGTTCTGCGGTTAAGGGAATCGGTTGGCCACTCTGCTGTGGCTAATGGAATGTGGCTGCCTCAGCACAGCGGTTAACAGAACGTGGCTGCCCCAGTGTTGTGGGTGGTAGAAAGTGGTTGCCACAGCACCGTGGGTAATGGAATGCGGTTGCCATGGTGTTCTGGGGAGCAGAGTGTGGTTGCCATGGTGGCTGGGTAGGAGACTGGTGGCCGGGGCGGCGCTGCCTGTGGAACGGGCACGGGGCACTGTGGGCTGGGCGGGGTCAGGCCTTGTGAGCCAGGGGGTGGGGGCTGAGCCCCCAGGGACTTCCCCAGGGTCAGTAGCCACCAGGGGCATGACAACCCCTAACCACATCCCTGCCCCTCGGCCCCCAGGACACCCCTCGTGTTTACAGTTCACGGTGAACATGACGGCGGCCGTGCGCACCTACCGCTGGCAGTGCATCGAGTGCAAGTCCTGCAGCCTGTGTGGCACCTCGGAGAACGACGTGAGTACCCATCTGCGCCCTCCCCCGGGGACCTGCCCCCAGGCAGCCTCCACACCTGGCAGCGCTCTCTTTGCCAGCTGGGCCTCACGCCTTTCCCTGGAGCGCCCTCCCTGTGAACACCAGTAACCTGTATTATTACTGTTGTTAGTGGCCATTAATTGAACCCGGCACTTAACACTCTTCACTCTCTGAGTGCTCCCAACCGCCCTGAGGTAGGTGCTCTTCTTCCCACTTCACAGAGAAGACACCGCGCTCAGAGAGGAGAAGACACGTGCCCGAGGTCACCCAGCTAGGAACATGGTTCCACTGGGACCTGAACCCATGACTTCCAGACCATCTCAGTGTCATTTTCAATGCCCCACAGATTCCTATAAAACCCAAACTACAAACCACAAACTGACGGTCCTTAAGGGCGTCTGGCGTGGCCCAGCAGGGTTTTGCAGAGATGACCTTCTCAGAGCCCTTTGTCTTGCAAGAGGACCATTTTCAATGCCCCACAGATTCCTATAAAACCCAAACTACAAACCACAAACTGACGGTCCTTAAGGGCGTCTGGCGTGGCCCAGCAGGGTTTTGCAGAGATGACCTTCTCAGAGCCCTTTGTCTTGCAAGAGGACCACCTCCCCCAGCCCCTTTGACCTGGCCCCTGCCCCCGCCCCCCACCCCGGTTTCTGGTGCCCGTACCCCCAGGGTGCCAGCTGGGCGGGTCTCACCCCCCAGGACCAGCTGCTGTTTTGTGACGACTGCGATCGGGGTTACCACATGTACTGCCTGAGTCCCCCCATGGCGGAGCCCCCGGAAGGTGAGAGGAGGAGGGTCTGACGGGGGGTGGAGGTGGGGGCAGCCCTGCCCAGACCTGACCCAACTCCCTGCCCTCCACCTGCCCCGCAGGGAGCTGGAGTTGTCACCTCTGTCTTCGGCACCTGAAAGAGAAGGCATCTGCCTACATCACCCTCACCTAGGCCTGGCTCTGGCTCGCCCGGACCTCTGGGGTGATGCCTGCCTACCTGCCTCTCCTCTTGGAGCTCCTCCACTCTCTCCCCATCCTTAACGCCCCACAGTGGGAGGGGCGGGGGGAGCCAGAGAGGGGGCCAGGGGGCCGGGCCACCCCCTCCCCTCTGAGCAAGTGGAATGTTTGCCCTGTGGGTTGGTGGGCCCAACAGGGTCCTCTCCCTTCCTCCCTCCTTCCTCACCCCCTTGGCAAATGGGTACCAGGGCCTTCTGCTCCCCTCAAAGCCATACCCCGCCTCTAGGCGGGCACGAGGGGTGGTGGATGCCGGCTGGGGGCACGGACAAAGCCTTTTTCTAAAGAAAAAGTCAAAAACTTAAAAAAAAAAGAGAGAAATTAATATATAACAAAGAGTCCTATAAGGTCTGGCTGGGTGGAGGGGGCACTGCTGAGCGCATCTACTGGGCACCAGTCTACGCCAGCGTCCTGCCTGGCGGCCCCTCCCCCCAGCCCCTGGAGTTGCAGCTGTCCCACCTCCCCACCCAAGACGGGCACCATCCCCTCCTTGGGCCCCGGGTCGGGGGGCGTGGTGTCCATCCCTCGCCCCCTCGGTGCCCACCGTGGATACTGCATGACGATGTGAACCATGGTTTTGAATTCCGTTCCTGCTCCCTCCCTGAGAGCCCTGCCCGCCTGCCCGTGCCCACTCCGTGCCTGCCGGCCTTGGCTGGCCGTCGCCGGTGGGGCGAGGCGGGCCCCTGCCCAGCGCCTGCTGGAATGAGAAGCACAGACTCTGCAACGGACTAGATTCTCCCCCTTCCCCTCCCCGCCCCTCCCTGCCACCCTCGCGGGCCACTTTTGGGTCACGAGGGGGCGTGGTTGTTTCTTGTGGTTGTGTGTGTTTGTTGTTCGGGTTTAAAAAAAAAAAAAAGGGAAATCGAGACTGCAAGTGGGGGAAGTGGTGGGCTTGGGGGAGTCTCCCCTCAATCCAGGCGTGCCCACCCCCCCTTGTCAATGAGTCTCCTTTATTGCCTGCCTCTGCTGTGAATTAACTTGTTCTGTGTATTAAAGTGGGGCTGACCCCTCTGCCCACATCGTTGGCTTCGTTCTCCAGGCTGCTTTGGGGCGTCGCCTAGAAGGGGAGATGGGGCCTCTTGAGGGGAGAAGCAACCGAGGTGAACAGCTGGAGTGGGGCCCCTACCTCCATCTCCCTCCCAGCTCCCCTCGGCACCCCCGCCATTCTCTTGGCTTTGTCCCAGCTCCTCCTAGCCTCGCTGGAAAGAAGAGGGGAGGATGGGGTGGAGGGGAGGAGAAAGGAGAAGAGGGGGGGATGGGGAAGAGGGGGCTCCCACCCAGCCAGCTGTGGTTGCCCTGGCAACCGACTGCTGCAGCTGCAGCGGGAAGCAGTGAGGGAGGGAGGAAAGCAGTGAGGGAGGGAGGCGGGAAGCTGGGGACTGGGGGAAGGGAAGGGATGGAGAGACGAAGACGCCCTCCCCTTGGGGCTACAGGAGGGAGCAGGGGTACCACCCTAGGGCCTCACCCTAGGACCAGACATCCCCTGGAGCTCCCCATCCCCGCTGTGGGGCAAAGGACAGAGGGGAAGGGGCAAAGGAAAGAACAGTGCAGATCCAGGGACATCAGGGGAGTGACAGACTCGGGTGAGGTGAGGTGAAGAGTGAGAACCAGGACACAAGAACGGTCAGGAGAGAGACAGCTATCAGAGTCACACATTTTTAGAAAATCAGAAAAAAGAGCAGGAGAGGGAAGACATAGATCTGGGAGAGAGATGTGGATGAAGGAGCCACAGGAATTATGGGGGAAGAGAACAGACGAGATGGAGATTTAGTGGGAGAGAGGAAATAACAGTAATAAAAAATAGCAGATGCATGGGGAGAGACAGAGAAAGGAGTAGTCAGTGATTTGGAGAGAGAAGTAGAAGAGATTCCGCGAGGGAAGGCAGAGAACCAGGGCCCATCAAACAGGAGAGGGGAAGAGAGAATGAGAAAGGAGGTACATTTGGGGAGAGAGATGAAGTCAGCATCCAGGACAGGCAAAGTCCCAGGACAATGATACAGAGATGACACTTCACGGGCAAGAGGACGTCAAGAACTGAGGGAGACAATAGAAAAATCTGGAGAGCGCCAAAAGCAGGAAAGGATTCAAAGGCTGGGTGAGGGGAGAGCCAGAAGTGGGGTGGGAGGCTGGGGGCGGGCAGGGAGGGCGCCCACTTGGGTTGGGGGGAGAGCGGGGAAACAGGCAGAGGAAGCAGAAAACTGGGGCAAGCCGAGGAAGGGACGCGCAGGGCACCATTCGGGCGAGAGCACGGGCTGGCGTGTGTGAGTTGCGGGGTGTTGGAAGTTGGTGTGTGTCACAGGCGCCAGGAGAGGATGTGAGAACAGCTTGTTCCGCCGTTTCCGTGCCGGTGGGGGAGGGTAGCCGGGGTGGAAGATGGAGCCTCAAGGAGGGCGGAGACAGGGAGGGTGTCTGGAACACTCTAGAATTTTTAGGAGGTGTGGAAATAGTTGGTCCACCTCCTCTGGAAAAAGGATATGTACCCGTTTGGGAAAGAGTTTTTTTTTTTCTTTGCAGGGCGGGGGTCTGGGTTAGAGAAGTGTCAGGTATGAGCTCAGAAATGATAAAGTCCAGCACAGGTAAATGGGCAGGTGGGCTAGAAAGCCCCAGCCGTGGGGTCAGGCCTGTAAAGAGGTAGTGGGATTGCTTCTTGGATCCAGGCGGAGTTGGACCCAGACTTCCCACAAGAGGCCGGAGTATGGGATTCTCACATGAAATCTGGGGATTTGGAAAATAAGTCTGACCCCGATCCCTGGGTCAAACTGCAAAAGGGGTTTCGTCAGGGCAGCTGCAGACCTGGGGGTAGGGGTTTAGGACCCCTCCCGGCCAGGAGAGCCCCAAGATGAGGGTCTGACCCAGGGCTGAGGTCCCAGGGGACACCAGTATCTTTCCAAGACATTGACAACGTCTGGAGCTCTGGGACTGGAAGCAGCAGCTGCTCTTCACTCCAAACCACCAACTAGATGACTGGCAGAGAGAAGGCGAGGGTGGGGAACAGGGGTGGAGGGGGTGCAAATGAGCCAGCGCCTGCCTGGAGGGTGTGGCCTGGGGCAACAGCCCAGCTGGGAGGCAGGGGCCCCTCCGTTCTGAGTCTTGCAGCTCAGAGTTTCAGAACAGAGTTACTAAACTCAAAATCCAGCTTTCTTTCTGTACTACCTCCAGATTTTAAAAACCATGAGGTAGGAGCTAGATGGGCCCCAGGGTGAACAGCTGGCTTCTCCCCTGTGGACAGATCCTTCAAAATAGCAGGAGAGAGAAGAGCTGGACCCTGCCCAGATAAAAGATAGATCACACATTCTTTATTCTCCAAGTCAAGTGGACTTTCCCCGCTACACATGTGCAGAAAGGCTCCTTGGAGGTCAAAAGGAAGGGGGCGTCACCTCATAGTAAGTGATGTCAACTCCTACCCATAGGCCTCTCTGCTGGAATCCATCTTGGCTAAGAGATGCTTGGGCACACGAGAGGATCCTGGGATAAAACAAAGAGGGACTCCAAACCAGGCAATGCAAGATGACCGGCCAAAGGAAACCCTGAAGAAATGCTCCATAAAACTGACTCAAACTACCAGGAGGGCGTGACTTTCTCTGAGCCCACCCATATGTCTAATCCACACAGACTGTACTCTTTTCCCTCCTAACGAACACTTATTTCGGTACTTTCTGTTTCTATGTGGAAACCCATTTCTACACAACTGATGGGCCAGGGCCTTCACTGGCCACTGTCCCGGGTGGTCTAGTGGTTAGGATTCAGCGCTTTCACTGCTGTGGCCTGACCTCAATCTCTGACCAGGAACAGAAATCCTGCTTCAAGCCACTGCAGGTCAAGGCCAGCTGAGATCAAGCTGATCATTATTTAAAAAAAAAATTCATTTTTCTGTCAATGCATTTACTTCTGGCTGCGCTGGGTCAGTCTTTGTTGCTGCGCTTGGGCTTTCTCTGGTTGTGAAGAGCGGGGGCTCCTCTCTCGCTGTGGTGTGCAGACTTCTCCCTGCAGTGTCTTCTCTTGTTGCAGTGCCTGGTAGTTGAGGATCCTGGGCTCCAAAGCGCAGTCTCAGTAGATGAGGCGCATGGGCTTAGCTGCTCCGAGGCATGTGGGATCTTCCTGGACCAGGGATTGACCTCCTGTCCCTTGAATCATAAGGTGGATTCTTAACCACTGGACCACCAGGGAAACCCCAGGTCTGGGTTTTGGGCCTCCAGTATATGACTTGTGAGGGTAGAACCTCCCTCTTTTTAAGAATTTCTTACATTTGAAGGAATCCCTTGGCAGTCCAGGGGTTAGTACTTTGTGCTTTTCACATTTCTTACATTCTGTGTTGGATTTCTGTTGCTAGGGTTTTGAGAAAGAGAAGTTGGTGAGAATGGTGCTCCTGGGTTCTTAAAGGTGTGCGCGCACTGGGGGTGATGGTGTTTGGGACGAGGGGGACAGGAGGCTGATGCTGGATCACCCCCTCTTGTCAGGGACTTTGTGGGGCTGCTCAGCTAGTGAACACACAAGCCACTTCTATGAAACATTTATTTCCTTTGAAACCTCCAGAAACATGCCAGAAAATCTCAAGACTGGGATGGGGAGGGGATGTGGGGAGGGTAAGACAATAAAGAACTTAAAAAAAAAAAAAATCCAGATGAAACAAATCAACATACTAGGGGGAAAAGAGAGGGGAAAAAAAAAAACACAAAAAACCCTGCTGCTATCTTCACCAAACTCGAATTAAATAGATGTGCTTTGCAGAGATCCTTAAAAAACAACAGGAAACAAAACCAAAAATCCTAATTTACACGTGTTAATGTACATGATTAGGTCCCCAAGATGACTCAAATGATCTGAAGGTAGGAGATGACTTAAAAAAAGAGGGTAGGGGTGGGGCAGGCTCCAGGTTAGGGTCTGAGGAGGAAAGGGGTGGGGGTGGGGTGGGTGGTCCTGGAGAACCCTTCCAAGAAGGGATCCGGGAAGAGGGGCAGAGACATCACAGTAGTTGGCCAGGGCTGAGGACCCCAAGGGCCGCCCCCCCTCCCTTCCTGGGGGAGAGGAGATGGCAGGTCCGAGGGCTCTTATTGTGGGACTGCAGTGTTGCTTCAGGGACCAGGGTCCTTTTCTCTTGCTCCTTAAAAGTCTGTGTCCTGTGTGGGCCTCCTCCCCTGAGGTTTCTGGCCCCAGAGAGAAGGTGGTGGGGATCTCTGGACGTGGGGCTGGGACGCCTAGCGCTGACCTCCCAGTTGGAGTGTGCTGCTTGGAGCAGGGTCCCCAGGCCTGCCCGGTTTTTGTCCCTCTGAGTCCCCCCCACTGAGCCCCAGCCCACTGGGAGCGGGGAACAAGCCTCGATCCTCAGTTTGAGGTTGGGGCAATCCACAGATTGTGTGACCATACAGACTTGTTCTGGCGCAACTCTACATGAAAAAATAAATATATATATATATTTTTTTTGTTTGTTTTTAAAGGAAAAAAAAAAAGAAGCTCTGTTTCCTGGGTGAACAGCGTAGTACCACACTGGCTCGGCTGCCCAGCCAGCTGCCCCTTATTGCCTTTGGAGAACCAGCGCCTAGTGGGGGTGCGCACTGCAGTGTTCCCCAGGGGGGTCCAACGTCGCTGCTGGGGGACCTGCAAGATGGGCTGGGGGTCTTGTAAAGGGAAAACAGAAGCAGAGAGGAGATGAAGGCTGTTTCTCTCCAGTCCTGGCCTGAGGCCTCGGTGGAGGCCCTCCTGGTGTCCAGAAGAGGCCGGGGCTGATGGAGGAGGAGAGGTGAGCCGCTGGGCCCGGACGCGTCAGTAGCTCGAAGGTGGAGGGGCCCAGGCGCCGCGGCCTCTGGCAGTCTGGGGACTGGTTGAAAAAGACTGTGGAAATGGTCCCAAGTGTGCAAATAGCTTCCCCATCAAAGAAGTTAACTCTGGAATGCTGGCGTTTCCTCTTTCCATCCTGGGATGCCCTCCCCTCAAGAAAATAAATCAAACTCTAAGAAAGTGCTCCCGGTTGCTTTTTGGAGGATAGGGTGGGGAGGGGGCAAAGTCCGTGCTTTTTGGAGCCAGTGCACCCAGGATGGAGAGCCCTGGCCCTTCCACGCCGCTGGGCCAGTTTCCCACCATGATTTTTCATGCAGGGGTCAAGGCCCCACCACCCCAGATACTGTTGGATGTGGTGAGGAAACCTGGTTTGTGAGCTCCTGGAGCTGTGGGGTTTGGAGACTCACTCCTGCCCTCCCTCCCTTCCTACAGCTTCCAATGGCTTGGTCCTAGGAAGAGGTTGGGTGAGGAGGGTGGGACGGGCCCCCTGGGGATGGTGTGGGCATGGGCCCAGCCCCCAAGAACCAGAGAGAGCAGCTCAGAGGGAGGCCGGAGACCACATTGCCCTCTGGGGCTCAAGGACCAAGAGTAGACAGCCGGGGGAGGCCTCCCTCAGGTCCCACTGCTGCCCCAAGCGTCCGTGTCCTTGAAAGGGCGGTGGGGCCTGGGCTGCAGTATCTTGGTCACGCCTGCGAGCAGGGGCCGGGCCGAGGGAGAGGAGGGCAGGAGCCCACGTCCGCCCAGGCGGCCGGTGGGGGTGGTAGCCTCTCCACCTCAGAGTTCTTTCTTTTCCCTGCAGAAGATCTCCGCAAACTTTCGCAGCTGCTCGCTGGCGGCCTGCGATTCCTCCTGCAGCCGCTGGTTGTTCTGCCTCAGGCTGGCCACCTCTGACTGTAGCACCGCCTTGTCCTGCTTCTCCTGTGGGGCGGGGGCTGGTGTCAGCAGGGCGCAGGCTGAACGGCAGCCCCTGCGGCCTGTGAGCCTTGCCCAGCTGCCAGGGTTCAGCAGCTGAGTAACCTCAGGCGGGTCACCTCATGAGCCCAAACTCTGGTCACCTCATGGGCCCATTTGACCCAGAGAAGGTCAAGCTCTTTGGGCCCCAGTTTCCCCAGTTCTAAAACTGGGGGGGGGTTTGACAGGACTTCCCTGGTGGTCTAGTGGTTAAGACTCCACGTTTCCAAGGCAGGGGGTGCGGGTTCCACCCCTGGTTGGGAAACTAATATCCCACATGCCTCACTGTTTGGTCAAAAAAACAAAACAAGAAAACTGTCAAAGGAGTGGCTGAGAGGTTTCCCTGAGGTCACGCATATTGAGCTCTCAGCACACAGCCTGAAGTGGAGTAACTGTGTGACAGTTACTATGATCACCTCATTCCAGTCCTGCAGCCACCCAAGGGTTGTGGGATGTTGTGACCCCGCTTTTCCTGGACCAGGAAAGGAGACCAGACCTCCTCATGCAGCGAGGAGGGGGCTGGGATGTGGACTCAGGGCTCCCTCTCAGGACTGGGCAACATGCTCAGGCAGCGATGTGTGCAGCATCACACGGCCTTACATGGTGGGGTGGGATTTGAATCTGGGCCCCCGCGATTCCTATGCCTGAGGCTTCCACGTTACAGTTGGCCACCTTCTGGCCCTTTACCCAGAAGTATGTAAAACAACAAGCGAGAGTCTCTTCCACACTGATTTTTCCTCACTCTCCCACACTCTGGAGATAAGGAACCATCTGGAATGTCACCTTCTAGATAGCCCTCTGACCCACAGCTGGGAGACATTTTTTAAGTGTTATAGTGTTCTAGGAAACAGGTCTGCCGCATGCTGCGTTTTCTCCTTGAGTTACTGGACTTCTTCTGTATGTCAGTGAATATATAGATTTCTGCCATGACTAATTCGCAGCAGATTATTCCACTGCAAGGCTGTCCTGTCATTTACGTCACTATTCTCCTGTGAACAGACAGCTGCACTGGCTCCAGTTTTTTATGGCCAGTGGTCCAGCAGTGAACACCTCTGCTTACAGGTCTCTTTGTGCCGTGCTTGGAATTCTGTTGAATGAATTCTCACAGCAAAGCTGCTGGGTTGACAAGGTACACAATTATGGTTTTGATAAATATGGTCTGACCGCCCTCCAATAAGGTTGGGCCAACTTATTCTCCTTCTAAGAGTTTCTGGGTGTGTTACCAGCCTTCCCTACTGTCAAGCTCTTCACTCATGACTACATTCAGAGCTGGGTGGCCTCTCCTAGAACAGACAGGATGGGGGTGGAGATGGGAGCCCCAGCCTTGCTGCCCACCTGCCCACCCCCCAGGCATCCGAGAAGTGCCATGTGAGGCAGCTGCCTGGCGGCCTTACCTTCTGGAGGTCCGTGTGCAGCTGTTTCAGCATCACCTCCAGCTGGTACACCTTGCCTGTCAGATCCAGGGGCGGCTCCTCGCTGCAAAGGCAGGGGATGGGGTCAGGATCTCTGCCCACAGCTGGGAGGAGCCCAGGGTGCAGGCCCCTCTTGTCCCTGAGGCTCTGGGCAGTTCTCTCCTAGCTGGAGTCCCCAGGGGTGCCTGGGGGGTGAAGGCTGTGCTCTGTCTGGGGCAGGCTCCTCACCTGGTGGGGCGTGGGAGCACCAGGCCTGAAGTGAGCAGCAGTGCTCCCGCAGAGGGACCAACTGTGCACTTTCAGGAGGAATTCCTCCCACCTCCCACCACCCAGGGCAGTGTGGTACAAAGCCCCCTCCCCACATCCACCCACCCAGCACCGAGCAAGCCCTAGCACGGAGCCGGCACTCAGGGTGTGTAAGTGGGCACGTGAGCAGGAGGGCCTGCCGGGGGGGCAGGACTTGTAACCAGACGGATGATGGTAACAGCCTCCGTTCCTGAGAGCCCACCCTGTGATGTGTGAGGTCTGAGCAGCTCAGGCAGGGATGCTGTACCCAGGACCCCAGCCTGTGGCTCCTCCTGAGTGGGTTCCCCCATTGTGGGGCTGCCTGGCCCCTGCAGAGGAAGGGGAAAGCCTCTTTTTGCAGAAGGCTCCTCTGGGCACGGTGGGAACGCACGCACCCGGGATGGATGAGAAGGGAGGAAGGGTGTCCGCTCAAGAAGCGGGAAGGACTCGCTGCCCACCCCCCACCACTCTTTCCTCCCTGCTGGTCCTACATCTTAGGGAGCTGCAGTCACAGGGGGAGGCTGGAGGCAGGTGGGAGGGGGGGAGCAGCTAAGGGCAAGAGGAGTCCAGGAGTCTGCCGGGAAGCCACAGGCCCTGGCATTTCTACACGCACCGTGTTCCCAACCCCACTGCAGCGCCCCATCCTGGAACCGCCCAGCTCTGCTGTGACAGTGGGGCCAGCACTGTCGGCTTGAGGTTGAGCTCTAAAGCCAGGGTGTGAAGTGAAAAACAAGAAGAGCCAAAACCACCCCCGAAAATCACTTCAACTGCCCATAGAGTAGAGTGCACTACTGTCGCATACGTCACTGCACGGTGAAGTATGCAGCTGAGTGTGAAATGCACTATTTAAATCCACGGACATGCAAGCCTGCCATTTCCATCTTCTCTCCCTCTTTGTGATTCTATTTTCTGCCAAGTTAGTGCACTCAAACATGCTGCGCCGAATGTGAGATGACAAATGGGAGAGGCCTGCCTCCCCGCCCCTGGAAGCCTCGTGAGGACAGGGCTCAGGCCCCAGTCACCGCTGGGTCCCCAGACACTCCGGCCTGGGGCCTCCCAGGGACGAGGTCAGACATAAATGTCAGGGGCACCGGCATGTAATTTAGGAATCTGCAAAGGAGGAGACCCAGGAGCAGACAGAGGGCAGGCTGGAGGCTGGGAGCAGGGTGGACAGAGGGGGCGGACGTGAGGCAGCAGGCAGGGAAGACCGGGGGTACCACTTATTGATTCAAAGCTGGCAGCAGAACAATGATCACTGTGCTGTCTCCACCGAGGAGACAGGGCCTCCATGCGAGGTCAGGAGCGACACTGCTCGGTCCCCACTGGGCCCCAGCGAGTGGATGAGCCCAAAGTCTGTTAGATGAGGCGGTGGCCGCCCCTCCTGCTACTGCTGAGGGGGTGGGGGGACTTGCAGGGTGGCCTCCTGCCTGGACGGCGGGGTAGGGGAGCCTCACCTCATGGTTGGGGTGGTCCTGGGGGTCGGGGGCCCCCTTTCCAGGCTCAGGTGACTGTGGACAGGGCTGTGTGCAGGCGGGACGTCCGGGCTCAGAGCTGGGTCGTTGAGAGAGAAGAGTGACACGGCTCTTTGCACTGCGGGGGAGAGGGGCGCGGTGGTCGGCTGGGCTCCCAGCTCCTCCTCACACCACCCCTCCCCCCGCAACGGCCAATCCCTTCCTGCAAACCCCCAGGACACTCCCAATCACACCCGCATAGATCACACAGGCATATAGGAGGGATTCTTGCCAAAAAACCAAACCAAGTCAGGACACAAACACAATATTCCATCCTGTTTCTGAGTAAGCCTCTGGACCCGATGACTAGTTTATACACAATACAAGGGACGGAGAAAGGAGTTGAGCACAGTGTGGGCAAGGAACCACCCCAATTCAGCTGAAATGGCCTGGTTTTGTCAATAATGGTGAGGGGGAAAATGGCCGGAAGTGGATAGAGTTGACAATGGCTGATAAGGACACAGGGATTCATTATGTCCTAACTCTGAGAATGAATGTGAAACTTCCAAAGCAGAGAGAGACACCAAACAGAGACTATCAAGTATATGGAAGAGAGAAACAGTCTCATGGGGCTGGTGGTTAAAGCAAAGATGCCCAGGTCCCATCCCCCAGACACGTGACTGGCTGGGGGGGGGGGCAGGGCCTGAGCCAGTGCCTGCATTTTCACATGGGACCGTTATGTGGTCCTTCTATGATGGCAGAACTCGAAAACAGTCTGAACGCATCCAAAGAGTGGCTGGCTGAGTGAGTCCTGGGGCTTCCCTGGTGGCTCAGATGGTAAAGAAGTCTGCCTGCAATGCAGGAGTGAAAGTAAAGTCGCTAGTCGTGTCTGACTCTTTGCGACCCCATGGACTGTCCATGGAATTCGCTAGGCAAGAATACTGGAGTGGGTAGCCTTTCCCTTCTCCTGGGGATCTTCCCAACCCAGGGACTGAACCCAGGTTTCCTACATTGCAGGCAGATTCTTTACCAGCTGAGCCACAAGGGAAGCCCAATGCAGGAGACCCTGGTTCAATCTCTGGGTTAGGGAGATCGCCTGGAGAAGGAAATGGCAACCCACTCCAGTATTCTTGCCTGGCGAATCCCATTCTGAGGAGCCTGGTGGGTTACAGTCCATGGGGTCACAAAGAGTAGGACATGACTGTGCAGCTGACATTTTCTCACTAAGTGAGTCTCAGGACAGAAGAGAGGAGGGGCTGTGCCCCTCCTGGGGAGGCAAAGGCGGGTCCCTTTATTTCTAACTCCCTGCTCCAAGAACAGCTCAGTGAACACCCAAATGCCTTCCCCAACGTTAACGGTCATGCCACACTTACTTCCTGTGTTTGTGCGCACTTCCTTCCCTAACCATTGGGGAAGGGAATGCACCAACATCCTGGTACTTCACCCCTGAGTACTTCATGCTGCATCTCCAGAAAGGAAAAGAAATGCTCCTATATATTCCTGACACAACATCGTCCTCAGGCAAGTTGACGTTGACATGCTATTATCGTCTAATAGACAATCACCTTGAAATTTCCCCAATTCTCTAAATAACATCCTTTATAGCTGCTGTTTTTTATCTTGGATTCAATATTTATGCTTTTTGAAAATGCTTTCATATAAAGAGTTTCAAACAGGCCCCAAAGCAGAGAAAAGAGCATCAGGGGTTGTGAACCCATCACCCGTTTCAGCACTTTTCAACACACTTCAACATACCTTGGGGTTCCTGCCCAGGGATCTCTTTGGTTTTTAATTCTCCTGATCACTCTTTTCCTTCACATTAAAAAAAAAAATTTATTTCTGGCTGCGCTGGGTTTTCGTTGCTGTGTATGGGCTTTCTCTAGTTGTGGTGAGCAGGGGCTATTCTCTAGTTCCAGTGCAAGGGCTTCTCATTGTGGTGGCGTCTCCTGTTGTGGAGCGCAGGCTCTAGGCGCATGGGCTCAGCAGCTGCGGCTCCTGGGTTCTAGAGCGCAGGCTTAGCAGTTGCGGTGCATGGCATCTGCCATGTGGCGTTTGGGATCTTCCTGTACCAGGGATCAAACCCATGTCTCCTGCATTGGTAGGCGAATTCTTTACGACTGAGCCAACAGAGAAGCCCCTTCTCCTTTACTTTTTAAAAACAACTTATTGCAGGGGACATTCCTGATGGTCCGGTGGTTAAGACTCTCTACTTCCAGTGCAAGGGGGGTGGGTTCAATCCCTGGTCAGGGAACTAAGATCCCATATGCTTGGGGCCACTAAGCCCATGAGCCACAACTAGAGAAGCCTGAGTGCTGCAACTTAGCCCTGATGCAACCAAATTAATTAACTGATTAAAAAGAAAGCAAGGGCACAGGCCAAGGAGTCAGGGCCATGGGAAACAGGAGGCGGTGTCTGATCCAGACTAAGGGATATGAGGGAGGGCTTCCTGGAGGAGGGACTGCAAAGCTGTGGCCTAAAAGATGAAAACTGAGCCAGAAGAATACATTCTTATCTGTCAGGGTTTCACAGATGAGGAAACCCAGGCTGAGAAAGGTAAAGCTGCTTGCCCAAGGACACATGGGATGGAAATGGCAGAGACAGCCAGTTGTCTTATGGTCTGTTTTCTCTTTCTCCATAACAGTAGATGCCAAATTTCAGTCGTGCACAGGGCCTCATTCCTTAGCCTGCCGTGTAGCAAGGTGTGGCCATGACACTCAGGCCAATGGGATTAAGTGCAGGAGGAGGGTGAGGCTATGGAAAACATCCTTCAAGTGGGGGTGGGGTGGGTGTCTGTCTCTCCCTGCTGGGCAGAGCTGGACGTGATGGCCAGAGCTCTAGCAGCCCAACTGTGAGGGTGAGGTCCCCAGGAATGGCAGAGCAGAGCGGGGAAGGAGTTTGACCCTAATCAGAAGTGATGACCCCAGAAATTTTTACTGCCCGCCAGCCTGACTGCCCACCCCTGGAATTTTCACCACATAGACCTTGTTTAAGTCACTGGATATTCTGCCACTTGTAGCCAAAGGACATCTAAGTACAACTGGGATCACTACACTTCCGCACTAAAATAGTAACAGAGAGCACTGTCTGTTGATGGCATGTTCTGTGATGACAGGTTTTATACACAGTTTTCATAGATTCCTCCCTGTGGCCCTAGGCAGTGGGTACACAGTCTCAATTCTAGCTGGGGGGATGAGAGAGATGAAGACATTTGCCCAGGACTGCACAGTGAGCAAGTGACAGGGAGGATGTGAACCCTGCCCTCCCCTGATGTGGAACCTGAGTGTGTCCCCCTTTAAAGCCTCAAGGCCGTGCTCACTTTGGCAGCACATACACTAAAATTGGGACGATGGAGAGGATTAACACAGCCCCTGCAGAAGGATGACATTCAAATTTGTGAAGTGTTCCATATTTTTTAAGCAATTTTCCTCCAATTAAAAAATAAATTAAAAAGAAAACACATCTTAATTCTTAGAAAAAGGCCCACTTTGACCAAGGGAAAAAGAAAAAAGGTAATGTTGACAGAGAGGATAAGTGGGCTTCCAGGTGGCTCTGTGGTAAAAAACCCATATGCCAATACAACAGACAAGGGTTTGATCTCTGGGTCGGGAAGATCCCCTGGAGGAGCAAACTGCAACCCACTCCAGTACTCTTGCCTGGAGAATGCCATGGACAGAGGAGCCTTGTGGGCTACGGTCCGTGGGGATGCAGAGTTGGACACGACTGAGCACAGCAGTACAGAGGGCTAAGTTAAATAAAATAGAGTAAGCTACCAAAAAAAAAGCTCCAAGGCCCTCCACGGATCCTTCCAGAACAGAGAAGGGAGTGGGGATCTGGTGGGGTTGGGTGGAAGGCGCCTACCTTCATAGGCCTTGGCTGCGTTCACCAGGCTGGACCACTCGAGGCCAGCAGCCGTGTCGGGGAGTGGCATCATTCCTGGGTCCAGACGCCGCAGGGGCCGGTCCCGCCCGTCGGCCAGTGAGAGCTCGGAGGCTGAGATGGTGGCTGGGTGGGGAGAGGATGGGTGCGAGTGACAACGTGGGAGAAATAAAGAAATGAACACGTTACTTTACACTTCACATACAATTATGTAACATTACATAACTGTTACACTGTTATATATAATTAAATGAATAAATTATATTTATTAGATGATAAATGCCAGGGAAAACAACCGCAGGGTAAGGGGGTGGGAGTCTCGGATATTTATGTGGGTATGATTTCAAACAGGGTGCCAGGGGAGGCCTTGCGGAGAAGATGGCCTTTTGTACAAAACTCCGAAGGAGGCGAGGCCGTGGTGGGTGGTCAGGGGGTACATCTTGGGAGAAGAGCTTTCTGGGCAGATGAACCAACCAGTGAGAAATGAATCCCTGAAGCAGGAACGTGCCAGGAGGTTTAAGAAACACTGAGGAGGGCACTCCTCTAGATATCCAGTGGCTAAGACTCTGCGTTTCCACTGCAGGGGGCCCAGGTTCGATCCCTTGTCAGGGAATTAAATCCCACATGCCACAACTAAGACCCAGCACAGACAAACTTTAAAAAAAAAAAAAGAGGAGGCTCGCGTGGCTGGGACAGAAGGTGGTGACAGGGCTGGAGGGTGCAGGGCCCTGGGGGCTACGACAAGAACCGTATCTCTTCCCCAAGTGAGACGGAGCCAGAGCAGGGTTCTGAATTGTCACCGGTGTCCACTGGATCCCTCTGGCTTTCTGTGGGGGGATCAGGGAGGCTGTGAGGAGGCTCCTGGGACGGTCCAGGAGGGAGCTGAAGGCAGACAGGGCCCGGTACGGCTGGAGGGACAAGGTCCTGGGTCTGCCTGGCAGGTGGGGCCGACAGCATTCCCTGCGGGTGGACGTGGGTGTGAGACAAGGGGGGATCCGGGAGGACTTCAGGATCCTGGAGCTGGCACTGAGTTGGGGAGGACCGGGGGCGAGACCAGAAGTGAGGCTTCTGGAGGTGTGAGTGTGAGAAGCCTGAGACACCCGCACAGAGCCGTGGGTGGGGTGCAGGCCACGTGCGTCTGGAGCAGAGGGGAGAGTGCCAGGCTGCAGACAGAACGTGGGGCTTTGGGGTACAGCCGGTGTTTAGGGTCACTGTGGGGAGGCCTGGTGGGTTCAGGCATGACGTGACAGGCAGGGAAAGTGTCTCAGGGTGCTGGAAAGGATGGAAGGCACAGGCAGCGTGTCAACGGTGGCTTCTGCTGCAGAGATGGAGGGAGTCCTCCTGCTGGGCTTAGGCCCTGACTCACTGAGGCCTCACAGACCCCATGGGGAGGGCGCAGAGGGTGACAGGGAAGCACGGAGGTCGGGCGGTGACTCCGGCAGGAAAGGCTGGGCCTGCTCCACGTACCCCAGGTCCAACCTCTCGCCGGGCACCACACTGGGTACTACAGCGCTCATCTCTCAGCCCCCACTCCCCCAAATCAGCCAGGAGGGAGGCACTACTATGACCCCCTGTGACAGAGGGGCGACTGGGGCTCAGAACAGGAAGCTGGCTGCCTCGCACTTTCTCTCTCGCTGGTGGGGGCACCTGAGTTTGACACGTGGGGTCTGCTGCTGACCCTGCTCTAAGCCCGGCCCCACACGGTGTTGGTCTTGAGAGGCTCCCTGCTCATGTCTTAGTTCAGAGGCGCAAATCTGACTGATGAGAAGGTACAATGCTCGCTCCTGGTGACAGAACACTGACAAACAAACACATCAACAGCTAGTGTTTTTTTCAACGCTTACTGCGTATCAGGCTCTGAGTTTGGTGTTTCCCTTGTACTAGCTTGTCTGATTCTCATATTAACTCAGTGAGGAGGGTGCTTTTTTGGCCTACATTCTATAGGCACAGGGAGGTTACAGCTGTGAGGTCAGGACCTGACCACAAACCCCAGCCACCCGGCTCTCAGGATGTGAGGTGCTCGTTGGCAAGTGAATGAGTGCTCAGGGGAATGGATGAGAAGGCAGGCAGAAGGATGCCCTTGATCCCCACACTCCCGTTTCCAGCCTCCTAGTGTCTCGTGGCCGAGCGGGTGGGGACCGTGGGAGCAGCTGCCTCTGCCATGCAAGTCATCTCAGGCGCTGCCTCGTGAGAGGCTCCTTGGCCTTGAGGGCCCTTCATCAGGGGAGCCTGGGCTCGGGCTGACAGCACCTCTTCAGCCCCGACGTGGCTTGGGAAGGGCTCTCGAGCAGGCGTGGAGACATGGAAAGGCCTGGGGCCCCTGGCCAGATGGGACTCTCAGGTTCAGGAGGACAGGGGAGTCAGATGGGCACAGAGATGGGGTGTGTGTGTGCGTGTTTCATGAGAAAGAGGGCCCTGGGCTGCAGTCACTGCAAGGACCCAGACAACCCTGGGTCCTGCTCTTAGGGAGTCCCCAGTCCAGCGGGGGAGACAGATTCATTCCCACACAGCGACCGCCAGGAAAGAGCAGGGCTGTGGTGGGGAAACCAAGGCTGAGAGAGCATGATGGGATGGGAGGGAGCTGGGGGCAGGGGCTGCCCAGAGGAGGTGCCTGACTCAGCCTGGTTAGGGAGAGAGGACTTCCTGGAGGAGGCAGCATCTTTGTCACGACTGAAAGGATAGTTAGAGCCAGGCAGGTACTCTGTCTGTCTGTCTGTCTGTGATCTCTGGGCACACTACCCCTGCCCTGGCCCGCCTCTTGCCTTCTCACCATGTGTCAAATGCTTCCTCATGCCAGGACCTGCCTTCGGCACGGGCAGGGCAGTGGAGGTTAGAGGCTGGTGAAGGAGACACAGAGTGAAGCTCAGATAAGCAGGAGAAACCGCCGGGAAGCTCTGCCACCAGGGCAGGGGGTGATGTGCCCCCCACTGCTGGGTGCCCAGAGCCCACAGCAGAGCCTGGCCCGGACCGGGGCTGGAGAAACAGTGGGAGAAAGCCAACAGAGGGGTGGGCCAGGGGCTCTCGAGTTTAAGACGGGAGAAAGGACCCGGCCTGGGGCTTACGGGAGACTCCAGGAAAGAGCCAGATCTGAGCAAAGCCCTAAAGGCGTCAGGTACCAAGCAGGGGGCTGGGGGAACAGCATGGCAGGCAGAGGGAAGTCACTTGGAATACCCTGAGGAGGGCGAGTGTGGACAGGAGGTTCTCAGGGAGGGTGCCGTGAAGTGGAGGCACTGAGGAAGGGCCCTCGGGTGGAGCCCCAAAATATCAGGGCAAGGAATATGGACCCAGATAGGAGGTCAGTGAGAAGCTGTGGCAGAATTTTAAGGGGGGAGACAGAACTCTTCAAAAAAAGTCCCTGAGCCTCCTCCATCCACTGTGGTGTACAAAAGGGCTCCATCAGATGCTACAGGGCACAGCCCCGCAGCTGAAACCTGGGGGTGGGCACATCTCTGAAGTCAAGGTTTGTGGCGATCTGACAAAGTAATGACATACTTTATATACACACATACACCTGGAAAGGTCGGCAGCGGCCCCCAATCAACACACCCGTGTTCCTCAACTAAGCAACGGATGCTTCACGCCAAGTGGGGTAAAGAAGGGCCATGAACAGCTTTACATCCGTTTGGGTCGGGCACTGCTGGGTGGGGGGGGGCGTGCCTGGCCTGGACTTCTGTCCTGCCTTCCAGTCCCAGAGCCTCTGAGGTTGTGGATACAGGATTACAAGGTGGACTGAAGGCACACTGACCCCAGCCAGCGCGCAACCGTGCACACAGCACTCCCTCAGTAAATATTTGCTGATGGTGGTCACGCCACGGTATCCCCTCCCTTCGAGAGCCGGGAGGACTGGAGGAAGTCACGTATGTGAAGGCAGGGACCTCCCTGGTGGTCCAGGGGTTAAGACTCTTGTGCCCCCAATGCAGGGGGCTCAGGTTTGATCCCTAGTCAGGGAACTAGAGCCCAAATGCCACAACTAAGAGTTTACAGGCTGTAACTAAAGATCCTGGGTGCTTCAACTAAGACCCGGAGCAGCCAAATAAATACATAAATAAAAATAAATATTAAAAAAAAAATTCATGAGGTTATCTACTTGGTGCTGGAACAGGGAGCTGGGGCTGGAACAGGGAGCTGGGAAAGGGGCGCATATAATGGAAACCCTGATCCTCAGGCCCTAGTAATGAGCTTCCAGTCTGGAGATACCTAGAGAGACTAACGCCCTCTCTCTGGTCTCAGATGACCCCAATCCTTGGGGGGCCCCCCATTCCTAGGTGACTGATGCTTGGCCAACAATCCCCTGCTCTGAGGGTGACACCCATTGTGCAGAACCACTGGGGTCCCCGGAAGCTCCTGTGTACTTCAGTTTCCACCCTCATCTGACTTTGATGATCTGTGGCCTTTGACCTCGAGGTGATCTGCATGCTCATGCCCTCCTGCCCCGCTACCCCTCACCCCAACCAGCCTCCAGGCTCCCAGGCTCACATTTCTTCTCGGGGAAGCTGTTGCCGGCGGTGGTGGGGATGGGGCCAGGGCCGCCAGGCGGGTGGGGGTGCTGGTGTTGGCGGCGGGTGGGCAGCGTGCTGGAGGGGAAGGCGCAGGTGCTGGTGAAGAGCACGTCGCTGGGCAGGCCCGGCTCCAGGCCGGCAGGGTTGGCGAAGCTGGGCTCCCGACGCCCACTGCACAGACTCTCATCTGACAGCGTCCGCTGCAGGCTCTTCTGTGGCGACTGCTGCCAGTACAGGGGTGTGGTCAGGGCCAGGCCCACGGTTACTGCCCTCGGATACTTCTTCCCCACCTCTGCAGTTCCGACCCACCCAGCACCCATTTCTGCCCAAAGTACAGCACTTCTCCCTGAGGATTCCTCCTCCCCTCTTTGCAGCCCACCTGGGTCTGGAGGGCTGACCCCACTCTCCAGCTCCAGGGGAGGTAGGGAAGGTGGGGTGACCTCAGCTAGAGCAGGAGACCCAGGCGTTGGTGGGGACCACCTGGGACAGAGTGCTGGCTCCCCCCAGAGCTGGTGGGAGGAAACCCTGAAGAGACTGGGGCCACCCAGGTCCCAACAAGAGTGCACCTGCCCAAGCGCCTGGCCCACCAGGGGAGGCAGAGAAGAGAGGGACAGAGAACGCCTGCTGTTTTGGCCTCCCCCCACCTCTGGGTCACAGGAGCCCAAGTGCCCCCTGAGCACTCCCTCCACTCCTGGTCCTGTGGTCTGGGCAGGCGGGTGCTGCTTCCACCCTACACTCGGGGAGAAGGATGTGAGAGCCACCATGAGCATCCACTGGCAGCTGCGTGCGGTCCAGTGGGGATAAAGGCCCCGTGGGCCTGCCAGGCTGGCTCACACTGTGATCCTGTCTCTGACCAACGCGCTGTCCTGACTCCTGGCTGCAGGGGCACACACACGCCCCAACAGGCCGGTGGGCGCCTCGGGTGGGAAGAGGCTGGAGTGAGTGCAGGGAGCTGCCCCGCCCCGGCCCGGCCCCCTCTGCCTGTCTGATTGCACGCATGCGAGCATGGGTGTGGGCATGGCACGGGCAGCCTCCACGTACGCCGGTTTCTCTCTCCTGCTCGGGCGCCAGGTTGTCCATGATGATGAGCTTCTTCAGGTCATCTTCGATGGTGGACTTGTAGTTCTTCCGTGGGGAGCGGAGGTCTCGGAGGGAGGCCCTCAACCGCGGCTGCCCGAAGACGTTTCTCGTGCTGCTGTCCACCTGCCTGGAAGGAGGAGGTCACAGTCAGAGGGGTCTCAGGAGGCTCAAGTCGCTTCTCAAAGCCGTCCTGACCCTAGGGAGCCAACCACCACTGGGCGAGTGACCGCGGCTTCCCCACGTCACCCGGTGAAGATGGACAGAGGTGAGGCCCGGGTTATCCTCGCCACTTGCCCATCCCTCAGATGTGGCCTGGGAGCCCCCTCTGTGCCGTGTGTGTGCTCAGCGGCGGGAATAGAGCAGTGAATGTGGAGCAGACCCATCAGAGAGACTGACCATGAATAAATGAACAGGGAAAGAGACCCCATAATGCGAGGTGGCGAGAGGTATTCTGAAGACAAATAAAGCTGGGTAAAAGGACAGGGGTCGCTGGGGATGGAGGCTGGCTTTTCTTGTCATCATCTGGCAGCACCACATGGCATGGAGATCTTAGCTCCCTGCTCAGGGATCAGTGCGCCCCCTGCACTGGAGCATGGAGTCTTAACCGCTGGACCAGCAGGAAGCCCCAGGGCAGGCTTTTCTAAGGGGATGACGTTTGAGCAGAAGGGCAGAAGGCAGGAATCTGCTGGTAGAAGAGGAGGCCAGGTAGAGAGAACAGCGAGTGCTGGGCTGAGACGTGTGAACAAGCCTGGTGAGCTTACAGAGGCGTCAGGGGCAAGACGGTGAGGGGGAGGAGGTGAGGCCTGGGAGGGGCTGGGGCAGGCGTTCGGGAACCTATGAGCCACAGAGGGGTCTCAGGATTGCATCTGGAGAGTCTGATCTGGTGAGTGCCTGGTCCTGATTTGTGCTTTAGAAGAGATGCGGACAGAGACATCACCCTCATGGAAACAAGGAGACAGGAACCTCCAGAGTTGTTCAGGTGGAACACAGGGGTGGTGCGGACCAGGGACTCCAGCCACAGAAGAGGGAGGGGGTCCTACAGAGTTAGAATCCCCTGGGGGGACCGGTCTCTTTGGGCCAGGCTGGGCCACAGACTGCAGACCTCTGGCCTGGGCTCTCCAGGGCCTGGCACCAGATCTCCCTCACTTTGCTTTCCATCACATGGGGTGGGCTCACACATCATGGAGGTGGCTGGGAGGATCCAGAGACGAGGCATAAGGGCTTGGAGCAGCCTCTGACTGCTACTATCTTGCTTTTCTACTGGGTCTCCCATTCCCACTGGGCTTCCCTGGTGGCTCAGCTGATAAAGAATCCCCCTGCAATGCGGGAGACCTGCGTTTGACCTCTGAGTTGGGAAGAGCCCCTGGAGAGGGGACTGGCTACCCACGCCAGAGTTCTGGCCTGGAGAAGTCCACGGGGTCACAAAGAGTCAGACACGACTGAGCAACTTCCACTCTTGTTCCAGAAGCTGGTTTGTGAACCCGGGTCACTCTGATCATCACACTCTTCTTCAGCATTCCCAAAGCTGACTCAGGGCTGCCTTCCAGAAGACTCTATGATCTAAAAGTCACTGAGGCACAGTCTGGGGTTAACAGCAGGAGCCCTGGTGGGCAGACAGGTTTGGGTCTGAGTCTAGACTCTGCCTGTTCCTGCTCTGGGACCCTGGGCAAGTCACACCACCTCTCTGATCCTTGGTTTGCACATGCGGAAAACACAGTGACCTTACTACATTTTGGAATTTGCTGCTAACTGCCTGGCCAGCACCTCACAGAGTGGACGCTGGGGAAATGAGAGCTGTTCTTCTAACCATTTCTCTAGGGGTGCTGGGCACCCCGAGCTGCACACAGTCGTCTCCTACTGCTCCTTCCCCATTCTGCAGGCACCACAGGCTGTCATCCCAGCTCCCTGGCCCGGGCTGGCTCCTGGGGACTCTCTGCCCTCCACTCCTGGGACTTCCCCTGCAGTCTCCTCTTGCCTCCTGAGTCTGGCCCAGCCTTTGGGATCAGGTCCTACTTTTCCAGCCAACACTGGATCCCTCATCTGAAGTGTTGCCACCCCGCCCCCCCCCACCTGGGAAAGAAATAATGACAGCTAACAGAAGCACAGAGCCAGGCGCTATCTACCAGTCCAAGGGCTCCATGTGAGCTAACCTGTGAAATCTATACAGCAGCCCTCCTTGGGAGCCACTGTAATTGGCATCTCTTCTCTACAGGTGGGAAATTGAGATACAGAGAGGTTAAAGTAACTGTCCACAGTCACACAGCCTGGGAGCAGAGGAGTCAGGATTCCAGTCTCAGCCACCAGGCTGCCGAGCCCACGGGCATCACGACAGCGCTTGGCTGTCACGTTTCTATCAAAGAGTTGGTGTACGAAAGATGTATAGTATGTGAAACATAATCACTTTGGGTTTAATGATAAGCTTTTATAGGGACTTTCCCAGTGGCCCCATGGTTAAATATCCACCTTCCAATTCAGGGGACATGGGTTTGATTACTGGTCAGGGAACTAAGATTCCCATATGCTGCGGGGCAACGGAGGCCAGGAACCGTAACTAAAGAAAAACACAGGCACCCCAACTAGAGGAGTGCGTATGCCCCAACAAAGATCCCATGTGCCACATCTAAGACCCGACACTGCCAAATAAATTAGTCTTTTTAAAAATGCTTTTATACATTAAAAAAAATTCTGGAAGAAATTATGAACAATAATTACTTCTGGGAAGTAGGAGTCATATTAGAAGGTGGAAAAATGAGCCTTTCACTTTTCATCTGATACAAACACCCTTCTGAACTGCTTGAATTTATTTTGCTATAATCATGTATTGTAACAAAAATAATAATAAAAAATAGTTTAAAAAGAGCTGACACCTAGACTTCATCATTGTGTAACTCAAGAAAGAAAAAAAGAAGAGTCTTTGAACTCAGGAAGAAATAAGATATCTTGGGCTCCTGAGGGTACTGAAGTCTATGTTTTTTTATTTTTTCTCTTATTTTCTCAGCTGCCAGCCTTGGGATTTCAACAAAGGAAGGAAGAGAGGGTGGTTAAGTTTTTTTTTTCTTGTTAGGTCGTATTCCTTCTCAAATGAGAATTCCAGGGCTAGGGTAATTCTGGCTCCATCATTATTAGGGAAGTATGCTTTCTGGGCAAACGAAAATCTTTCTATCCAAGAGAGAAACAGACACAAGCAAGAAAGACACACCCCCCCCAGAGTACACGTTGTTCCCCTGGGAGCTCGAAGGGGCCTCACCCCTCCTGCTTCCCTTTCGATTTTGCCATTTCCCAGAATCCCAAGGGGCGCGGTCCACGAGGCTCCCCTCTGGGAAGGGTGTAAGATGACCTCCTGAAAGTGTAAAACCGTGCACTGTCTCCACCCTAGGAGTTCTCCATCTGGGAGTGTTCCCTCCCAGGTGCCAGGTGTTCGGGGACACTTCATGAAGTCCTGACTAAGGAGGAAACAGCACTGGCCAGTAGTGGCAGGACAAGGCCCCGCAGGGAGGGACAGTAGTACCCCAGAATAACCCCCTCTGGCTGCTGGAGACAAGAGAACTTGGTCCACACGACATGGGAAGAGGTTTGCCCAGATACATCATGGGAATAAGCAAGTGGTTATGGGGACTTTCCTGGTGGTCCAGTGGCTAAGACTCCACACTCCCAATGCAGGGGGCCCAGGTTCAATTCCTGGTCAGGGAACTAGATCCCACGTGTGGCAACTAAGAGTTTGCATGCCACAACTAAAGATCCTGTGTACCACAACTAAGATCTGGTGCAGCCAAATAAATATTAAAAAAAAGAAGGGGGGTATGTGTGATGTGAAAACATTTTTAGGAAACAAAACTCACACACAGTTTATGCTGTGCTGTGCTTCGTCACTCAGTTGTGTCCAACTCTTTGAGACCCCATAGACTGTAGCCTGCCAGGCTCCTCTGTCCATGGAGTTCTCCAGGCAAGAATACTAGAGGGGGTTGCCGTGCCCTCTTCCAGGGGATCTTCCCAACCCAGGGATCGAACCCAGGTCTCCCCCATTGCAGGTTGAATCTTTACTGTCTCAGCCACCAGGGAAGCCCCACACATAGCTTAGTGTGGTATATTCAAGTTTACCAAACTCTCAGCTCCTAAGGTAGATATGTGGGAGGGATTCTCTTTCTAAAAATATTCCTTGCCACAGCCCACCAGGTCCAAAACAATCTGTTCCACCCCACCTCAGCCCTCATCTCCTCCCATACAGGCTTCCCAAGGTTCCTGAAATACGCCAGGAAAGTTCCTGCCTCAGGGCCTTTGCATCGGCTGTTCTGTCTGCCCAGAGCATCCTTCCCAGCAGTCCCTGCAAATGGCAGCTTCTCATCCACCCAGCTTTACTCAAATGTCACCTCCTCAGAGAGGCCCTCCCTGACACTCCACCTTTTGTGGCTCCCTCCTACCCAGGTGAGCTACATCACACTCACCTGTGCTACTTCTTCACTGTATTCATCTCACAGTGATTTGCCCTGTGTGACTGTGTTGGGGTCTCACTCCTCCCACCTCACCCACAGTCTGTGTTTATGTTCGGGGCTGGGGACAAGGCTGGCAGGCACACCGACTTAGTTGCTAAATGTGTATCACACAGAACTGACCTTTCTTCCAACCCATCAGCTGACCTACCTACCCATCTCCTTCCTTCCTTCCAACCTCCCTTCTTCTCTCTCTTCCTTTCCCAGCAAGCTTAAATGACTTCCATAAACCAGGAGAAAGTATAGAGGACTTCCCTGGTGGTCCAGCGTTTAAGAACCTGTCTGCCAATGCTGTGGACACGGGTTCGATCCCTGGTCTGGGAAGAAGATCCTACATGCCATGGAGCAGCTAAGCCTAGGACCACAGTTACTGAGGCCCACGCACCCTGGAGCCCATGCTCTGCACCAAAGGAAGCCACCACAATGAGAAGCCCTCGCGCCGCAAGTAGACAGCAGCTCCCTCTTGCTGCAACTAGAGAAAGCCAGTGCACAGCAACGAAGACCTAGCACGGCCAACAAAAATAAAATAAATAAAAGGAGAGAGATACTTTAAAAAGTCAAGCCACGGAACATAAGCATTCCTTCCTTGGTCTGTTTGGGTTCATTTGCTGAAACTATCTTCCCAGCTCAGGACCCCTAG